GATAAAACATAAGTTTAACTCCAAACAGACTGTTAGTTCTTTATGTGTAGTTACTCATGACTCAGCTGTTTGTGTTGTGTGTCTGCAGGAGGATTTGAGGAGCTCAGTTTGGACTCAGACTCACATCATTTTAAAGAGGTTTGAGTTTTTTAGTCATTCTTTTAATATTAGAGTAAAAACACGTTAGATTCAGCTTTTAAAGCTGSTTTTAATCTTATTCTAATCAAGTTGTTTACTTTTACATCAAAGTAAAGTTTCTGTGGTAAAATATTTCCAGAAAACTGAGTTGTTTTGATTCCTAAACTTACTAAAACGAGTTTATTTCTGTGAATTTCACCAACATTTCAAAATATAATCAATACAAAAGTGGTGAAGATGTTAATTAAACGGGTCATCTGTTAATTGTTTACTTCTGTTTGGGTTGTTTGTTAGTGAGCAGCTGGTTTCTCTCTCATCTTCAGCACTTTCTTCTTACAGGACAGTAAATATTTAGAAGATTCTGATCCATGTCAGCAGGAAACAGGAAGCAGAAATCAGGTTTATATCAACATTAAAGCTCCGGTTCTGGCTCTCTCTGAAAATATGTTCGGCCTTCAAAATAAAACTCAGAAACGAGAATAAAGACGTTTTATTTTCAGGTGGATCAAATCGAAACATGTGAGTTTATTAACTCAGCAGGCAGGAGGTCCGGACTCAGATCCATCACTCTGACAGGTCCGGACTCAGATCCATCACTCTGATGGGTCCGGACTCAGATCCATCACTCTGACGGGTCCGGACTCAGATCCATCACTCTGACGGGTCCGGACTCAGATCCATCACTCTGACGGGTCCGGACCCTGCTAAAAACCTGAGCTGGTTCTACAGAGGGGGCGTGGTCTAAGTGGTCCTGAACATCTGGAACTCTTTAACAGATGTGGACTAACTCACAGAGGAGGAGTCTGAGCCCAGTTTCAAGTCTTCGGGCTGTAGACCAGGGGCACAGAGTCCAGCTGGAACCAGAACCAACACCTCTGTTAAATGTCAGATTTGTTTAGTTTCAGTCTCTGTGTTGAGAAACAACAATTCAAACGTTTTATTTATTGTAAATAATCGGATCTTTGATGCAGAACAAACTGCTGCAGGGTCCGTTCCTGCTGCACACAGTTGTTGGGTTGGTTTCAGGCAGAGCGCCCTCTACTGGTCCGAACCAGAACCCACACTTCACTGGATCAGCTGCATGTATAGATTAATAAARGTTTTTTATTTATGAATGAGAAACCTTAAAGTTCTGTTTTCAATCAGTGACTTTTCCTTGTTTTTTGCTGATTTAACCCTTTATTTTTTCTGCTCTCTGAAGATGAAAAAGACCAGAAGGCGTTTAACTGTTGATCCGTTGGAGTTTACGCTCGGCTGTGAACTCTCCAACAGACGGCCCGAGGCCCAGGTAGAACCAAGCAGAACCATCTGTTCTAACTGCTGCTTGTCTGATCAGCTCTCATGCATCTCTGCATTAAAGTCTCATTTCTCTAAGAGTAKATCTGAAGATGTTTAATCAGCAGAAAATACCTGATGTCATCATAAATATTCAACCAGTAACATCTGCTTCACTCTCACTGATGAGTCAGCACTCTCACTGATGACTCAGCACTCATACAGATGACTTAACACTTTTACAGATGACTCACCACTCTCACCGATGACTCAGCAGTCGTACAGATGAGTCAGCACTCATACAGACGAGTCAGCACTCATACAGATGAGTCAGCACTCTTACAGACGACTCAGCACTCTTACAGATGACTCAGCACTCTTACAGATGACTCAGCACTCTTACAGATGACTCAGCACTCATACAGATGAGTCAGCACTCATACAGATGAGTCAGCACTCATACAGATGACTCAGCACTCATACTGATGACTCAGCACTCATACAGATGAGTCAGCACTCATACAGATGACTCAGCACTCATACTGATGACTCAGCACTCATACTGATGACTCAGCACTCATACAGATGACTCAGCACTCATACAGATGACTCAGCACTCTCACTGATGACTCAGCACTCATATAGATGACTCAGCACTCATACAGATGACTCACTCAGCACACTCGCAG